ATCAACAGCCTCGCTGTGAACATTCATGTACAAATTTTTACATAGACGTGTTTTCATTTCTCTTGGTGTCTGCCTCTGATTGCAACTGCTAGGTCATAGGGTCCAACAAAAACCCACTGCCATTGAGTCAGTTCTGACTCAGAGACTCTACAGGACAGACAGGTAGTTTCCGGGGTTGCCGAGACTGACTACAGGAGCCAACATCTTTTGCCCGAGGAGCAGCTGGTAGGTTGGAATTGTTGCTCGTTTGATTGGCAACCAAATGCTTTAGTCCCTGCACCACTAGGGATCTTTGGGTCACAGGATAACTCTGTTTAACTTAAAAAAATACGTATTGTGAATTGGGTGTAGGTTTACAGAGCAAATAGGTTTTCCATCCAACAGTTGGTGTTCATTTTGTGCAACATCACTTACCCCACTCCCCGTGTTTCCCATTCCCACCGCCTCTTTTCCTAACTGTCTGAACTTTGTACTTGGGGCAACGCTGCCCTTCTGATTTCCAAGGGTTGGTGATTCTGAGGTGTGTGTTCTAGTGTTATTGTTTCTCTTATAGAACTTTCCATTATTAGGCGAGAATTGAGCCAGGAGGATGAGTTCAGTCTAGACCTGGAGGGTGACCGAAAGCCATAGTCTCTGGGTTCCCCCAACCTCTCTCCCACCATGAAGCCAGGTCTTGTTTAATTTGTGCTTCTCAGTTTTGTTCCGCCTTCTTTTCTTCCAATACTCAAGACCTTCTCAGGGGAGGACCCTTTTTGGTGGTGGTCGGGCACCATCCAGCTCTGCTGGTCTCAGGGTCTTGGAGGAAGGATGTGTGTGACAATGTCCACGTGGGCCACTGGACTCGCTCTTTCCTTTCAAAAGAACCATTAGACTTTCCCACAGGAACCGCCTCATTTTACTTTCCCATCAGGCTTCCAGTTTCTCTAGGTCCTGGCCAACGTGTGTGTTTGGGGTCAGCGTGAGTCAGCATTGACTGGGGGCAACTGGTGAGTGCTGTGTAGGAGCTGTCACTGTGGCTTGCTGTACATTTCCCTGTTGAGTCACTTGGCTTGGTGCCAGTGAGTTGGAGCTTTTGTTAATAGCTAATGATTTTGAGCCTTCTTTCGTGTGCTGAATAAAACCAAACTCAGGGCCATCTAGCCATTTCTGACTCAGCAAACCCATGGGCAGGGTGATCTCCCCCTTGTGGGTTCCTGAGGTTGTCAGTCTTACAGGAGCAGAGAGTCCTCCCTCGCAGCGACTGGTAGCTTTGAACTGCTGAGCTTGCAGTTAGCAGCCCAGCACATCACTTCATTACCAGGGCTGCTGCTGTGTCTTTTGAATGCAGTTTGTTGAAAAGATTTCCCTCTCCCCACAAATGATTTTGCTCCTCAGTTAGTATGAGGGAGGGCTCATTTTATCTCAATTGGGGCGAGTTTATACCTCCTGGGAGACATTTGGCAACTGCTGGTGTGGGATATAAAAAGACTTTTCCCCAACTTCTCTCCCCAAATATATGTCAGACCTAGCACACTACTTCCAACTAATGGTAAATGATTCTCAAGTTATCTCCCTAAAGGCACCAGCCGTCCAGCAGCAAGCAGACCCTATTGTCTGGTCCACCTGAGATGGGGCTCACACCCTACTGATCAGGATAGTAATTGTTTCCATGGAGAGCCAGAGAAGTGGTCCAAACTGCTCAGTGACATCCAAAGTTAGAATCTAGGATCTGCCCATCTTGTCACATGTGTACCCCCAATCCCTCCTCTTCCTATAGTGCGTACACCCCTACATCGCCCCCTCTCATTACTGTGACGTATGTCTTTACCTGTAATTAGGGGGCTTGCATGCCTCCAAAGATATATAAGCCTTGGTTAGAAATAAATCGCTCCCTCTCCTGCCCTCCTTTCCTCCTGCATCCCCACGTGGACCACCAAGAAGGGCTGAGGTGAGCGTGCTACCATAAAATATGTCTGACTTACTTGTTTTACTCTCCTATTTCTCTTAATCTCCATGACTTTATTTTAATCTTAATAGTTTTTAACTGTAAGATTGCGCCTACCGAGCCTACGAGCCGAGGCTGGTTTCCCCACATGCTGGGGCATTTTTCTTGTCACCTGGCAGGTAGAGACCCAAGGATAACTTGCCCTCCATATGCCCCTCTCCCCGTGCCCAAGCAAAGCGAAGGATTGTCATTGAGCGGCTGCCATTGAGCTGGTTCCAAGTCGTGGTGAAGCGGGTCTGAAAGGACAGAATCTGGGCTCCCTGGTCAGGGCCCTCATCAGCTGGAGTCCACGTTGTGGCTCCTGTGGGGTCTGAGTGTTTTCCAGCCCAGGCCCTGTCTCCCAGCGCTCTGCTGGACAATATTCCAATGTAAAGTTTTCTTGTTCTCTAACGTTTTATTGGGAACTGGGTGGAGGTCTACCGAGTGGATCAACAGGGCACACATTTCATTTCAGCTCCTCTACTGCCACCCCCTCACCATACCAGGGAGTCTCTGGCTTCCTCCCTGTGGCCCATCCTGCTGTGGGAGGGAGGTCAGGCCGGGCCGAGCTGACCCAGAGGAGGAGCACTGAGAGGGGCTGCCAGGCCCTGAGACTCAGCAGCCCTGGGCCAGACAGGCCTCACACTGGACCCTTTGAATATCAGGCGCCTTGCACTTTTAGAACAGAACCCTGGTGGTGGCGCGGGTTAAGCATTGTGCAGCTAACCGGAACGTGGGCATTTGGAGCACGCAGCCCACTTCTGTAAGGTTTACTGCCTTGGAAACCCAGTGGCTCAGGAGACTCGGCCCCTGCCTGGTGGCCGGGCATCGGCATGGACTTGCAGCCTTGGGTTTGGTGTGGCGTGCTTGGGAGGTGAGAACAGTTACTAACTGCCGCTACTTCTCAAAAGGTTGGCATTTCAGACTCACCCAGAGGCCGAAGAAAGGCCTGGCATTCTGCTTCCAAAAGACCAGAACCATGGAAACCCCATGGGGCAGAGTTCCACTCGACACCTACGGGGTTACCCCAGTCGAGGCGTGGCCTGTGCTCGCCAGGTCTTTTCGCCTCCTCCTAAGCCTTGTGACACCAGACTTCTTGTCCTCTGTGGCGGAGGAGCCGGATGTCTGAAGGCCCCTTTGTCTCCCCCCCCCCCCCCCCCCCAAATGACTCATAGTGATCTCACACAGGCTGTCTGTCTGTCTGGGCACAGACTGCCTCATCTTTCTCCTGTTGGGTTGGTGGGTTAGAGTCGCCCGCAGTACCACCAGGCCTCCTGGCTCACAGTTGCTGTTCAGTGAATGATGTGAAGCAGATCTCGGGGTTTAGGGCTCGGGAAAGCAGGTGCATGTCTCCTGTCCCCTGTGGGGTGGAGGGGGGCCCCAAGAACTGGCCTAAGCAGACAAGGGCTTGGGCCTCCTGCTCAGGGACGCTTCTGCCTCGTCACTGCCGGGGCGTGGAAAGTTGGCTTCCCAACGTGGCCTCTGTGCCACCTGCCAATATCCCCCCTGAGCTTGTGTTTTGCCCTGAGTGCCATGTTGTTGTTTGCTGGCCCTGGTCCCTCACGTGCAATAGCCGTCCAGCACCAACCCACTGTGAGTCCCTGGTCTTCACAGGCTGGTTTCCAGAAGGCCATCTCCACATCTGTCCAGTCCCTCTCGGCCTGGAAGCTCCCTGAAATCCTGTCAGTATTCTAGCAAGACGCACCACTGTGGGGGCCATCCCGACTCAGAGCCACCGGACGGGACAGAGAAGAACCTCCCTGTGGGCTCCCAGACTGTCAGTCTTTGGGGAGCAGAGAGCCTCAGTTAGCAGCCCAGGGTGTAAGGTTTAACCAACTGCACCACCAGCGCAGCTGGTTTCCTGAGTCGAAGGCAGGAATTCTGTGACGGCATCCCCCTGCCCGCAAGCCCAAGCCAAGCACTCTCCTCAGTCAGCTCTGCCTCCCAGCCTCCCTCCGGGCCAGAATCACTGCGTTGCTGACGGGCGCCAAAGAATAATGGAGGTCCCATGGACGGCCAGAAGAACAAACACGTCCGTCTGGAGGAAGTGCGGCCAGGATGCTCCTTAGACGCCAGGGTGGCAAAATATCATCTCGTGTACTTTGGACATGCTGTCAGGAGAGACCAGTCCCTGGAGAAGGACAGCATGCTTGGTAAAGTGGAGGGGCATCGACTAAGAGGCTGGCCTTTGATGAGATGGATGGACACTGTGGCTGCAACAATCCGCTCCAACATAGGAACGATAGTGGGGTGGCGCAGGGCCGGGCAGCGCTTCCTTCTGTTGTGCACAGGGCCGCCGCTAGGTTGACAGCCCTACCAACACTGACAGGACAGACTTGCTGCCCTGCCAGTGTCCAAGGCTGCATGTATCTCTGGAAGCAGAGAGCAGCATCTGTCTCCACGGAACTGCTGCTGTGTTCAGCCCTCCAGCGTCATGGTTAGCGGCTGCGTAGTTCAATCATGGTGCTACCAGGGCTCCTTCGACCCCTGACCTCCGGAGCTGCAAACCTTGGGGTACACCCATCCCTGCAGCAACTCCCCAGACTTTGTAGTTCAGATAAAACAACAGCAGCAAAGATGTGACCTGAGTTGGTCTTGGGTGCGGGGTTAGGGACCTGAGAATTGTTTTTAGGGGAAGAAGTTGGCCCTCGCTTGGGGTGAGGTGCCCCCAACACATTGGGCCTCACGGGGGACTGGGCTTGCTCAGCATCTTACTTTGAGGGATGTGGCTGCTCAGCCCCAGAGGGCCTGGGCCCTGTGTGTCCTTGGAGCCTCCGTGTCCCCCAGGACTCCATATCTCTCTGGCTCCAGTCAGGGCATGTGACAGGTCATGCTGATGTGAGGGAGCCTGGATCCTTGGATCACACCAGGCACCAGGACGGTCACGTGCCTTTTGTCCAGCTCTGGATGTGTCCTCCCTGCGGCCACGACAGCTTGAGGCTGTGGACTGTGGGACATGGGGGAGGGGAGGGAGCTGATGGTGCAAATAGCAGCAGCATTGTGGGTTATGGGCACATAGCTGCCCTCCTCCGCAGAGCTGAGCTCTGTTCCAGTGGTGTCCAGGCGGTGGTCCTTAGGGGAGTGGGTCACCAGGTCATTTCTCTGGCCCTGCTCTGCCGGTGGCTCGCCCTCAAGGTCCTCAATTTCCCCAGCTGAAGCCCAAAGCACCCACCTCTGGTGGCCCAGGTCCTTTCAGGCCTGGTTCTGGGGTGTGGGGTTCGGAGCCTGGCGGACCCAAGCCCTGGCTCCTGTCCAGCAGCGCTGTTTGCTTTACACTGGCCCAGGCCGTGTTCCGGGGAACGCCTGGCACTTCCTGGTGACAGTGACCCCTCCTACCACCTTGCCCTCCAGGTGAGATGCTTGCTCGAGATGGTGTCTGCGTGGCTGTGTGGTGTGTGTTTTCCCGAGAGGTCTTGTATCTGTGCTGAAAGCTGGCTATGGGGTCTTGGTCTCCATTCCTGCATCTCTGAATCGGGAAGCTCGGCTCTCTCCACTGTCCAGCATCTGCCCTTCTTTGTGGGGGGCCTTGGGGTGGGAGTGGGCAGCCCACCAGGGCGAAGATGGGACAGGGCTGGGGTCAGTGCACAGTCACTGTTTAGGAGCGGGATCAGTGACAGACTCCAGCTGATTGGTTTTATAGTGGTGGAGCACGGTGAGAGAGGGGCCCCAGGGTGGGGCAGATGGTTAGGGGATCAGCCTCTCTCTGAAAAACTGGTGCCTTGGGGCACCTTGGAAGAAAGATCTGGTGATCGGGACAGGGACAGAAAGGGTTGTGGAGATGACTCTCCTGCACAGCTTGGCAGCACCTGGTCTAGGTGAAGGGGAGCCGTTCACAGCATGCCCGGAAAGTGGGACACTGGTAGCAGTGTCTGCACACCCGTGTTTCTGAGACGATGACCGCTCCCTTGGAAGGACACCTCCCTCGCCTCTTGTCCAGGCCTGGCCCAGGCCGTCCCCTCAAGTACCATCCCACGTCCTACTGCTCCCTGTGTTCCCTGTTGCCCTTCCTCCACCTTCCCTGGCCTTCTCGCTTTGTGTTTGGGGAAATGCTGCCCTTTTGATCTTAAGTGGCCAATGATTGTCCCACGGGTGAATTGAGTCCCAGACCTGAAGTGGCGAGGGTCCGGTCTCTAGCCAGCTAGTAAGCTTAGTCTCCGATGATCGTGAGTCTGGTTCCACAATCTTCTCTTAGAAAAACAAACAAACTCTGGCATCGAGTCCATTCCGACTCTTAGTGACCCCGTAAGATAGGGTAGAACTGCCCCTCTGGGTCTCTGAGACTAAATCTTTGTGGGAGTAGAAAGTCTTTCTCCCATGGAGTGTGGTTGCTAATCTTGCAGCTAGTATATAACTAGTACACCTACCCTGTCCAAATTCACTGCCATCTGACTCATGGTGACCCTTCAGGGCAGAGTAGCTTTGCCCCTGTGTAGTTTCTGAGACTGTAACGCTCAGTAGAAAGTCTCATTTTTCTCCTGAAGAACGGCTGGTGGTTTTGAACTGCTGCCTGTCGTTAGCAGCCTAATGCGTAACCCCTACGCTACTAGGGCTCTTCCACCCTGTCCAGGACCTTCTCATTGCTTTGGACTCTGTAGGCATCCACCCATGCGTAGAACTGCCAGCTCAGGTGGCTTTTTGAGGGCCCTCCACACGGTTCCCGTGCCGACGGCACTCCCACCAGCAGTGCACGAGGACTCAGTGCCCCCCCCTGGCCGGCACTGCTCTTGCCATGTCCTTGAGGGTAGCCCTTCCAGTGGGTGGTACTGGCGTCCCACTGAGGGTTAAGTTGCATCCCAGGGCCCTTTGCCCTCTTTGGAGAAACATCTGCCCAAGCCCTGGCCTGTGTTCTGCTGGGCCGTAGAAGTTGGGTGTCACACTTCCTTTTCCCCAAGGCATCAGCTTGAGCACCCTGCCATAGATGTCTCTCTCATCGTAGGGAAGGGGAAGTGCCTATTGACCTCTCTGCACATTAAAAAAAAGTGGGTTCTCTTTTTTCTTATGGATTCCAGGATTCTTGACTTTTCTTGTGTTTTGAGTTCCTTGGAAATTGGCTGACTACACTGGCGTTTATGGAAACCAGCTTCGGCAAGAAACGGGATTCATTGGCAGGCTCTAGGTTTGTTTCAAGGAGCCCTTTTGAGCCGCTAGCTGCAAGGTCTGATGGAAAACCCTGATTCCACTCTGGTCCCAGCGTCCTCTTCCTGCCTGGGCAGAGTGCCGCTCGTTGCTCTGAGGACCGGGTCTTGAACATTCTTTGGTCCCATTTCCTGTTTCACAAGAGACAATGCCACTGATCTTGTTGCCCACCTGATCACACAGCTGCATTCAGGGGCTTGGGAGTTCATGCTGGGGTGGACTGGGGAGGAACCCCTCCCCCAAGTGGAATCTGCAGCTTCACTGGACCTAGTGAGCCAGAGTGTACTGGGCCCACTGCCCCTGCCTCCTCCACAGGGCCACGAGTTTGTCTGCTTGCTAACACTGCTGAGACTGCCCTGGGCATGGATGCGGGCGTGGGCAGAGGCAGCTGGCACCATTAAGTGCCTTTTCATCTGCGGCAGACACTCCTTTTCCTTAAT